CTATCCTAAAACTCAAAAACATAATAAATAAAAAGGAAGAAAGTTTGAGTTGTTTTCCAAGAAGCGCTTCTTTAATATCATTAGCTTGACTTTGTGCTATGTTTGATTATGGTAGCTCGAATTAAGTTGTCATCATTGCACTTTGTACTATTTTCATTTATGCACCATTTTTTTGCTCTCCATATTTTGATATTTCCATTTTCATCTTTACCAAGAAGTTCACCAAAATTTGATTTTTTTTGTCAATTCTACAGCAATGATTATTATTGGAAGGTTTCTCAAATGAGGAATAAAGATTAAATATTTCTTGCTAGTCATTCATCCTCAATATTAGTTCACCATTCTCCATTTCAATTAAAGTCCGATCAATTGCTAAAAATGGCAGAGCCAATATAATTGGAATGTCTCGATCTTCTGGTATGTCTAGCACAATGAAGTCCATCGCAAATATTAAATTTTCTGATTGTATGAGCACATCCTCAACTTTGTCCGTGGTTTTGAAATTGTTGTATCAGTTAGTTGTAGCTTTATTGATATTGATTTGACTTTACCAAATCTCAATTTCCTGTAAATCGGATATGACATTAGATTTGTAGTAGCACCCGTGTCACACAATGCATTAATAGCATAAGAATTTCCAATTGAAATAGGCAAAGTAAAACTCCTTGGATCTTTCAACTTGTGGGGCAATTTGTTTTGCATTCTTGCACTACTTTCCTCCGTTAATGCCACAATTTCAAATTCCTGAAGTTTTCTTTTCTTTGTCAACATTTCTTTCAGAAATTTTGTATAGCTTGAAATTTGTAATATCGCATCAATCAACAGAATATTGATCTAGAGCTTCTTAGAACATCAATAAAATTTTTAAATTTTGTATCTTCTTTGTTCTTCTTGAGCCTCTGAGGAAAAAGAATGGGAGGTACGTAAGCCTTAATTGGATTTGGTGTCTTGACAATGGATGCTTCTGTACTTTCTTTATTCTCAATTGAGGCGGATGTAGATTTTTCTTCCATTATAATTTCATCAACTTCTTCATGGTCCTCTTTTCTTTCTGGCCGTTTCACAGTAATCTTTGGTAATTGTAACCCACACCTTATAGTTATAGCATGAATATTTTCCTCCATTGACTTCTTTCGAAGTCTTTAGAAAAACGGAAGTGGAGGTATATAGGCTTTAACTTTGCAAGAGCCCTGGATAGATAGTTTTCTCTTATTGTCATCACTTGCTCTTTAGGATTTGTCATTGTATTACTTGGCAATAATCCCTATAGATGTTCTGCAAGTTGTTGAGCTATCTGACCGATTTGTATTTCCAACTTCTTGATTGATGCCTGTTGATTTTGGAAATTTGTATCGATTTGTTGGAATGCCTTATATGTCTTTTGTATATACTGGTTGAACATCTTCCCCAAACTTTGTTTTTTTCTCTTGCTAGACATTATTTGGAATATTTTTGGGCTGATTATCAGATCATCTAAATTTCGGGTGCCGTATCCATCCTGGGTTATAGGTTTGTGAATATGAGTTAAAGTTGCGGGAGCCATTTTGAATGAAGTTTACCCATTTCTTAGGAAAGCCCATAGATATACAATTTTCTGTTAAATGATTAGTTCCACAGTTTTCACACGATTGACCACTCATTACTGNGAATTTATTGCAAAATTTTCTGGTCAGTTCTTCCCATGTAGTGATGCTTCCATGAGGTTCGGTGTCCAACCACTCCAATGCGGCATCTCTAAGTGTATATTGGAATAACCGCAATTTAATAGCATCTTCATTTATCCCAGGAGCATGGAAATTCTGATAATTTCTGAGAAATCTGGAGATGTGTGTATTCGGATTTACATGAGGCAACCCGTAGAATTGGAGAGATTGCTCATCAAATAGATTCATTCTGCCCTTATCTGAAAATTGTTTACCCTAAAATCTGGATACACAATAGTGGCGCGTAGGTGCAGCTATGGGTGTCAAGAACATTAAAACAGACAAATCTCCTTCATTTATTTTCTTTCACTCGTGCTGCTGATCCTGTGATGCAGCTACTCTTGCGGCAACATGTCCAATTAGCTGAATATGAATCGGAATATTTTGATCATCTGCCATTTGATGTTGGTGTTTTTGTTTATGCTCTTTGGGTCTTCGTCTGAAGGTGCATTCTATCTCCGAGTCAAATGGTTCATGTTCGTCGTCTTGGACACGTAGCATGCAATGAACACCTATTTTTTGTAGAGAAAAGAAAATAAACAAATCAAATAACCGTTAGAAATAAAATAAACTAAGACTAAAAATAATAGTCCCCGACAAAGGCGTCAAAAAATTGTTTTTTTTTTAATCGCAAGTATACGATATCATAACAAGTAATATAGTTCACATTTGAGTCCGGATTGTCGTTTCCACGAGGACTATATTTTAGACTTAATATGTTTTTCCTAACTTCTTTGATAAAAGGCAAATAAATAATGGTAATAGTTGTGAATATTTTTTGTGAACTAACTACCTTAAACTAATGGAAAGTATAAAAAGATTGAAAACAATGATTGATAAACGATTCGATTACGTAATGAATATTAGAGTAAAACAAGTTCATCTAATGATCACCTTAATTCTTAATTCACGATTCTAACATTATGTAGTGTTCGGTCGAATTCTCCTATTATATTCAATTTACCCATCTTGAGTTCTTATTGAGCCATTTAATTTATTCAATTCCATATCTCTATGCGAATTACTCTTAGTTAAACGAAATATGGTTCTGAGAATTCTTATTACGACCGCAATAATTAGTATAGTATCTCTACATGTTATACTACTTTATCTGATTTTATTATACAGTCTAAGCCTCAAACTCACCCTCAATTCCTAAAAAACTCAAGTAATCATCAAATTATTAGCCAGATAATTCAAAGCATTAAGATCATAACAAAATCAACACATAAAATAATAAACCACAGAAATCTTTGAATAAAAGAATTAAGGATCACAAAAGACTACATTATTTGCCCTAATCTAGAGTTTGGTTACGCATAATGTAAAAGGAAAAACAAATAAATGTCTTTGAATACATCACCAAATTACTTGAATAAAGATATAGAAAATAATCAACTCTTGCAATTTTTGCTTTAAACTTGAATCCCCTAATAAATTTCTTCTTTTGATTTAGCTCTTCGATCTCTCGTTGTATCTCTCTTTTTTTCAATGTTTGGAACCTTAAAATTTTCACATTTATTCTATTTATACTCCCCTACACGATTTTCCAAAAAATTGGAGTCTTTCTGGACTTTTCGCGGTCCAGAACAATATAACCCAAAAATTTACAACACATCGCCTAGGCGCCGCGATGACATTTGAAGCAGCTCCTAAGCGCTATGGTTGCAACGCTTGGGCGCTAAATTGCTGAAAATAATCTGCCCTATATTGCCTAGGTGCTTAGTCGCTATTCCAAATTCTACGTCTGTTTCAATATTTTTGTCCTAACTTTATCTCCCAATATCCGATGAAGGTGATTGAAAATGCTTTGAATATGTCACGTAAAGGGCTACAACTTTTCTAAAAATAGCTATTTTCCATTACGAATGTTTACTAGACCCAAAGTGGGTCTCAATCTCCAATTGAAAATCCGGAACATCCTTATATGGTTAAAAATTGATTTCTGAAAATATTTTGGTCATATTTCACTCCTTTTGACTTCTAATTGCCTCCATTTGATCCCTAGTATTCTCAAATATTCATCGTGAATTTCGGCACAACTTTTGAGTTTTTTCACTTTAATTCTTAAACTTTGGATCTTGCCATTTTTCTGTCAATTTTCACTTCTTTTCTCTAATTATTTATTAAACATAATATTTTACATACAAAGATGCAATATAACATAAATTAGGTAGAAATTTATCGAAAGGACATAAAATATCATAGTTTAGGGACTCGAATAAGTGTAGAAACTACACTTATCAATATGCCTCATTAAAACTTGTCTGAAAGTCCACTGGAATGAAAACTAAGAGAAGGGAAAAGATTAAAGTTACTGTGCTGATGATTACCGAAAATCATTGAGTCAACACATTCCAAATTATATTCAAAATTTAAAATTAAAATATTGATAACTTTTTTACTCTCAATAATGAACCCCAATAACATTAATAGACAATAAGTAAAATATATTTTAGGACATAACAAAAAAACATGTCTCTTGTTGTGCAACGTTACCGTTAATGAACATTGACTTCTCTAATTCGTGAATTAAGAGATGACTTAGTAATTATTCCATAATTATTACTTAATTATCTAATTATTTGAAATTCAAGTCAAGTCAACAACATTATTTAGAGTGTATAAAAATATAAATTTTGTGTTTATTTGTAAATGCAGTCAAATTCGACTGCAAGGCTACATCACAAGAGTGTGTATTATCTCTTTTGTCAAGAGGTCCCCGGATAAGGTGGAACATATGTTGGCACGACATGCACAAAATGTAGAAGACGTTGTATTATGGACCGAGGAGGCTCTTAAATTTATTGTTTCACTTCTTAATTAGGATGTATCGTACTTTTGCAATTTGAATGCATTCCATTTAATTATCGTCTTCCACACCCTTCCTTACATGTAAGCAAGTTTACGTTTTATTATTATTATTATTATTTTTAATCGAAGCCTAATACTTGAACAATTCCATATAAATGGGAGGCAAGAAATTTCGAAGTCCGAACCTTTGTTTAGTTTGAACGAGAACTAGAGTTCCATCATAAAATCTTAACATATTAAGATTGAACCCCAAATTAATGTTCATATTGAAAGTCAATCACGTGGTGACCCAAATTTACACATATTGTCGCATATACCTGCATTGATTCATACAGAGAAATTAAAAAATAAATTGAATGAACGAATCTCTATTCTAATGTTTTTATGAACTACAGTATACAGAATTTCCCACAAGCCAATAAAAAAGAAAATGTTAAGAGTCCCAGCAAGAATTTCCTATTTACATTTCAGTTGGAATAGCATTTAGTCCTTAGGTCTAAGCTCAATGCCTTCAACAAGAAGTCCCCCTTTGAGGTGCTCACCTTCGACCTCTTTGAAGCTCATTTTCACCTCTTTCTCTTTACCATCACAATAGAACTCACCCAATTCGACTTCTAACCACCCATCTTCCCGTATATGAACAACGCGTTCTTCTGCTTCACAAACTCCTGATCTCGAACCGTCAATCTTGTGTTGCATATAATCACACTCCAATTCTTGCTTTTTACTCGCATGGTCTCTTAAATAAGTTGTTCCTATAGATTTGTAACCACCAATTTCTATTGAAACCTCCGATGGTAGGGTATCTAATCCAAATGCACGATCGGCAAGTTTAACAATAAGGTAGGCTCCATATGTTGTACTTTTCGATAACATCTGAGTGTTGATTTTACCGTGTATCTCAAGCCAGCATACCATTATAAGCTCTACTCCCTCATAAAATCTAGCATAACAAAAACAAAGATTTAGATGTTATAGATACTGCATGATACTTTCAATTTCAGAAATTTGAAGTCAACTTTATGAGCTCTTCTCCTCATTATATTCGACCCAAAAAGTCAATTGCTTTAAAGTAGAAAAAAATTAAAATCTTAATGTCAACTTAAATAATTAAATAGAAACCTTGAGTGAAGAAGGGGTTTCCAGCTCCAGCAAAGAGGATTGCTTGCCCAAGAAATTGACAGTTCTCTTGCACTCAACATGTAGCATTTCTTGTTGGTATATTTATCAATCGCAAATGTCTGCATAGGAACAATTGATATAAATATTTTTATTTATTTTCAGGATATTATATAAGAGTAAGCTGTTATTTTTATTTTTACCTTGTTGCCCCCATCAATGAGAAGAGGAGTAGAAAGCTTGAAAAACAGATCCTTTTTGGAGGAAAATTCTATAGGAGAAACCAACTTTGACATAATATCAGCATAATCATAAGGTAAGAATTTGTCCCACACAAGGTCCGATTCCACTGAATTACGAAACATAGTCGATACAATTGAAGATTCGCATGCATTATGAGGGGTCGTGAATGCGATAACGTGAGCAAGACAGTCTTCTGGCAAGTCCTGGATCGATGTAACTGCCATGGTTTAATTTATCAAGAAGAGCTCAGACCAGAGAAAATTTGAATGCTTTTTTTTTTTTTTTGTGGAAATGAATGCACATCGCATGGTCTAAAGGGATTTATATAGTTGGCAATACGATGATTTTTATCATAACAACACATGAATTCAAGATAAGACAACATCCGAATCCGTGTCATCCTACTGGACTTCAACGGGTTGAATGGGTTTTCGTGTGAAATGTATTAGTCAAGGTCATATACATATGTAAGCATTGTTCCTTATGTTTTGGACATATTCTTAATTAACGTAAAATGTCAAATAATTTAATTTTCAGATGTTTACCCAATCAACTCGATTGCTACTTGGCTGCCTTGAATTGACACGAGTGATCAAAATGTTGAGAAATTAGGTTGTAACCCTTTTGCTTTTTACTCATAAAATTAGCTGGAAAAAAAACTTAATTATTCTTGTGTGTCGACTATGCGTCAGGTCTCTTTATTGTTTTAGTACGGCACCTATTACGGCACATGAGTGCATTATGTTTTATTTTTCATCTTTTCTTTCACTTTTAAGTCTTCCTATATAAACATAAAAAAAAATAAAAAAAAATCGAACTTTTAGATTTCATTTCATGCCTTCATTATCCTCCAAAATCATCTCGGCATTTACAATTCTTAAATTAATGAGGATTTTTTTTAAAAAAAAAAAAACTTAAATTGAAAGAGAAATTTCAAATCATAAAATTTTTTATTAACCAATTAACGTGTGTTTTAAAGAAAATTTTCAAATTAAAAGAGAATTTTCAAATTATAAAATTTTGACTAACCAATTAACGTCTCTTTTAAAGAAATTTCAAAATTAAAACTCTCTTTCCATCTTCTCTCATTGCTTAGGCATTTGTTTGACATTTTGTCCTATCAATAACAATTGGACTTTTTATATTAAAAACCATGTCATAGTTTTTAGATCCTAAACTCAGCTGACAGTCAATAAAATATCCCCCGCTAACATATTTTTATATGATAAAAATTGTGAATAGCCTATTACGACTTTCAACTTGACTTTTTCATCGTCAAAATTTTGATGCCTCACTACAATTTTGAGGTGTCAAACTCAATATTGTATTATACATCATCATGTACAAATGGTCGTTCATAGGTTATTTATAATATTATATATTTTGATGATCAAATTGTAATATCATAATTATAAACATGAGAAGAAAAATAAAAGTAGACTTTCGTGTATTTTATTGAGAATCAAAACTCCATATTTACATGTAAGAATTATGACTGCAGTGGTACAATAGTTATAANTCCATATTTACATGTAAGAATTAGACAGTATATGTCCAGTTAAAACCTCGTTCGATAAAAAATAATGAGACAAATATATCAAATGAAATAAAGAAAAAAGAGTACATTTATTTATTTATTTATTTGGAGAATTAAAAACAAAGTATGCCTCATTAAAACTCGTCCGAAAATCCAATGGAATGAAACATGAGAGAAGGGAAAAGAGTAAAGTTACTCTCCTGATGTTGATTATCGAAATTCATTAAGTCGACGAATTCCAAACTATATTTAAAATTTCAAATTAGAATGTTAATACTAACTTTTTTTATTTATTTTTGTCTCAATAATGAACCCCAATAACATTATAGACAAAAAGTAAAATATATTTTGGGACATAACAAAAAACAGGTCTCTTAGTATGTAACTTTACCGTTAATGAACGTTGACTTCTCTAACTCGTGAATTAAGAGATGACTTAGTAATTGTTGCATAATTATTACGTAATTATCTAATTGTTTGAAATTCAAGTCAAGTCAATAACATTATTTAGAGTGTATAAAATTATATATTTTGCGTTTTTTTTGTAAAAGCAGTCAAATTCGACTGCAAGGCTACATCACAAGATAGGCTCAACCGATGGAGGGTAACTTAGTAAACGTTACCAGATAAGATAAAATATTTGTAGATTATGTTTTATCTCTAAGAATGTGTATTATCTCTTTTGTCAAGAGGTCCGGGAATAAGGTGGAACATGTATTGGCTCGACATGCTCAAAATGTATAAGATGTTTTATTAAGGGCCGAGGAGCCTCTTGAATTTATTGTTTTGATTCTCAATTAGGATGTATCATACTTTTGATTTAATCGAAGCAAGTTTTCGTTTTAATTAGGAGCCTCTTGAATTTACGTGTTCAACACACTTCCTTACATGTAAGCAAGTGTATGTTTTAATTTTTTATTTTTTGATCGAAGCCTATTACTTGAAAAATTCCATATAAATGGTGGGCAAGAAAACTTGAATTCGGGACCTTTGTCTAATTTGAATGAGGACTTATGTTTCATCATAAAATCTAATAGGTAATTAGTAAATAACGTACCCACCTTTCATTGTTATTATGGAAAATATTTATACATTTCATTTTTGGCATTTTTAATCTTATTTCCACCTTTCATTGCACAAAATATCATTTTTATCTATTTTTTCAATTAAAAATTGTGAACTCACGAATATATTTTCTCTTTAAATAAAACGAAACGAAAAAGAAAAAAATTAATTGCAACCATAGTCCCGATTTTTTTATTAAAATGAGTCTGAAATAAATTATTAAAATGATAATTAATACATAATATCTTTTACCGTTATTGCGAAAAAGTCCTTACCTTTAATTTTTTTTCCTTTTTGTATTTTCACCACTATAAAATAATAAATATACTCTCATATTTAAATACAAATATTTTTTAAATTTCTGATTCTTCAATAATTTATTTGGGATTTGTTTACAATTCTAAATTTTTATAATTTTCAAATAAATTTAATTAGGACTCCTTTGCATTTTTTTAAAAAAATTAATAATTTATTGGGACTCATTCGCACTTTTTATAAAAAATTGAAACTATAGTTTGCAATTAATTCTTTAATTTTTTTCATTGAAATAGGAGGGTATATTCGTCATTTCACAACATTTTCTTGAAAATTTGGACAAAAAATGGATAAAATGATAGTCTGCGCAATCAAATGTGTAATTGGGGGGTGAAAATGTCAAAAAGAAATATAGGATTTTTTTTTTTTTTGCAATAATAATGAAAGGTATGGAAATTATGTGCTAATTACCCTTTAAAAATTTTATTTGGGGCTCATTTGATCCTTTGAAAAAAATTTGGGACTATGATTGCAATTAATTGTTTCTTTTTTCCTTTTGTTTTATTTAAAGAGAATGGTATATTCGTCATTTCAAAATTTTTAATTGAGAAATTAGATGAAAATGACCTTTTGCGCAATAAAATGTGAAAATAAAGATGAAAATATAAAAAAAATGAAAGGTGTTGACGTTTTCCACAATAACAATAAAGAGTAGGGACGTTATGTGATAATTACTCAAATCTTAACATATTAAGATGAAACTCCAACACTCAAAATATACGGTATTAGAGTAAAAAACGTTGAGCGCGTACGATTTTAATGTTCATGTTGACAATCGATCATGTGGTGACTCGAATTTACACAATTAAATAGGTTTGGAACATAGAATTTCATGTTTGAAGGACAATGATCCATAATTACACCTCATTGCATAAAAGTTTAGGTCTACAACCCCAATTTTCTCTTAAAAAGGAAATAAGAGATTCTCGAGCCCTTGATCGTCTGAGGTTAGATCCCTAAATTCATCATCAACACCATTTTGAATCTTTATCAACAGATATTTATTATTAGCAGGAGTGCTCATCATTGAAAGTTCAACCTTTCTACTGTCAAAAATTTGCATGTACTTCATGAGAATTTGAGAACCCATTCATAATATTTAGCATAAGCTGTTACCAGAGTTGTCCCCAAGATACATCTATGTGTGGGTTTAGCATAATCTGTTGCGGTTGGAAAAAAAAAGGCTTTGTTGAGCTTACTTTTGGCATTATTTTAGGTGGGACCTACTGTTTAAATTTGAAAGATCAAAGTTGATTCGTGTTCTCCTCTATGAGAACATTGAAATCATATGTTTACTTGTCAAAAATAATAAACAGGTGAATGAGAAATTTGAGATCAAAGTGAACCATTGGAAGATGGTTTTTGCTGGAGGGAAAACTGCAATTAAGTTTGTCTCACATATGAAATTTATGAAAGCATCGGCTATTTTATATATGGTTACACTTTAAAATGATGTAATCATGTGTATTTTAGAAACTTTCTCCATATGCAATGACCAAAATTGTACATCGAGCGTGTCATGCGTACATAAATGTCAGACCAAACTTAGCAAAAATTGGCCCTTTAGGAGTATCTATGTTTTTCTAATTTTTTTTTTCCAATTGACTTTTTAGCTTTTGAAACTGTTAAAACTCCAATGGTTATTGTCATTATAGCATTGAGTTAATGGCATGTTTATGAACGGATTTACTCACTATTCATGGGGCAAAGTTTATAACTAAGCTCATTTTTCCACTATTCCACACCAAAAAAATTTCATTCTCTTCTGCATTTTTTTCAGTTCAGTTTCTGCCTGAAAATTTTCGTTTCCGTCTAAGTCTTGGTGGTACTGTTCTGATAAAAATTCATTTCGTTAAAGTAGAAACTGAAGTGTTTGAACTCGACTGATTTTTTGTTATATTTTGGGAGATAGACGCCCGTACGAAGCCTCGAGCACTTACGATGGAGGGGACAAATCTATTTAAAGGAAATTGTGTAATACAGAGGCCTCGATTTGCAAATCCATTTTGTAATCAGTATATTACTGCAATATCATTTTTCTATTTTGTTCTACCTTAATTAGGGCTGTAAGCAAAAACCGCCAAACCGAAAAACCGAACCGAAACCGCAATTTCGAAACCGGCGGTTTGGTGCCACGTGGACCCGTCAACGAAATGGTTTTGAACCAAACCAAACCGGTCAAAAACGGTTTGGTTTAGGTTTGAGAATTTTAATTATGGTTTGAAACCAAACCGGACCGG